TTTTTTTTTTTTTTTTTTTTTTTTTTTTTTTTTTTTTTTTTTTTTTTATCAATCGATCGCACTTTCAGCCATTCGATTCGAACTTTAAGGACGGATGAAAATTCGTGACGATTTCCTGGCCAATTTAAACGGTAAGGGGGTGACCCGACGTTGCGTGCAATCGTAATTCGACGACGTCGCCGAACTAGAGAGCCGAAAAAGAGCACGCACATGCAACTCGCGTGGAAAATCGCGTCGACGTATCGCGTGCAACGAGCACGAACGATCGCGGTTTCTTTTCGTCGTCGCATCAATATCTAACCGATTGATCGATAAATAATTCATCTGGCAGACGGTCGCGCCTAATGGAGAGTCGTCGGACAAACGAGAGTGGAAACGAGGGTAAGCCAGAATATAGGAACAAGTTTCGCTGCTTATGATCGAGATTTCTCGAACACAAGGAGGGACGAACACAAGAAGTTGACGAAACTTACCAGTAATGAGGGTGAGAGCACACAAACAAGCGAAAGCACTAGTGTCTACGTCGAGAATGTGAAGAGCTTTGCTGAACTCGAGGATACTGTGGAGCCAGTCGCCAAAGCTACGTTGACACTGTTCCAATGCGAGAACCACGCCGTTGCAAAACGTCAGCTTCGTGTCCTCTGGCTTTGTGCGGTACGCCAAACGAAGAACAAAGAGTTCCAGGCTGGCTGACTGGAAAAGCAACTCCTACGGGCAGGGGCAATCACGAAAACACGCGTTACACAAAAAAAAAAAAAAGTTATGAAATACACCAAGTACGTATGAAAGATTTGCGTGAGTCGTGGAAGACGGGTTACACTAGCTCGAGGCTAGCAGCTAGACAACCGACCAATCAGACCGTCGATTAGACATGTCGTAGGCTCGTCAGGACTGACCTTTTAGAAAATGTACAAGCTATCGATCTGTTTAATGAAAGCTTCCCTTACAGATATTGTCTGCCCGTCGATACATAATGAACAATATATTCGCGACTCGTGTATGCTTGCACGAGAAATCATCCAAGGTTAATGATGACGATCGTTCGTGAGAAGAAGAGAAAAATCTACAAACCTGATCCTCCCGTACCAGATCCGTGAAGCCGGGTATCTTATCGGCAAAGGTACGAATCACGTCGATCGACGTGGTGAGAAGATTGTAAAACTGCTGTGTCTTTTCCGCCTCTGTGATTGGTGGATCGCCAGGGCTTGGTTGCCGGTATTGCGAGTAATCTAACGTCGCTTGATCGGGTGTCGTGTCCAAGTGTGCGCGAACCAAAGCTGTGATCAAAGAAACCGGGGAACTCGGTGGTGATTCTTGCGGGGATTTCGGCTTCGATGGTAGTCTACCTCGGCGGCCTTTCAACGAATCTGTCCTGACAACCTGTTAAACGAATACCTCCCCTTATTTTCGACATCTTTATTCTCGATATACAGAAAGAAATCCATTTCCTAATCATTTCTTCTACGAATTCTTCTTCTCTTTCGCGATAATAGATTGAGGAATCGTTATTGAGAATCGGTAAGTACACGAATGCGAAAGCTCGCTACTCACCTCTTTCACCATGCCGACCATCAAACACTTCTGGAAGCGACAAAATTGGCAACGATTCCGCCGCCGTTTGTCAACAGGGCAAGCTTTCTCCGCCAGACACACGTATTTCGAGCCTTTCTGCACGGTCCTTTTGAAGAATCCCTTGCAACCCTCGCAGGTACGGACACCGTAGTGCTGGCACGCCGCCGTGTCGCCGCAAACGGCACAAAGTTGACTGGGACTCGGCGGTGCTCGTTCGTTGCCGGTGCCGCTTCCAGGGGATGGAGAACTCACGGAGCTTCCGGTGCCTCCGCTTCCGCCGCGTGCCTTCGAGGAATCTGTACTGCCGCTGCTGTCAACGAAAGACACGTTTCCTCTTTCGAAATCTCAATCAAACGAACATAAACTTAATTTCCGTTAATTTCCAAATCCAAAAACGGAACAGACGAGTTCCAACGAAATTCTTTTCAAACCGAAACAAGTTAAGTTACCTCGTGGATTCTGACCGCTGCGTGGGTACGGACGCTCTTCGTGGACGAGGCGTCCCTACGACCACGTTGTCAACAGTGGGATAAAGATCTGTCGACGCGACCGGAGTCGTACCGCCGGTAATGGTCGGTGGTGGGCCGTACACCATGGGTAAACTGACCACCGCACCGTACGGCGAGTCTTGTCGATGATTCGACGGCGAGAGAACAGCGGTAGTTG